ATCTCATGTAAGATTGTCAGTGCTTTTGCGGAAATACTATGCTGCTCCCGTTCGGGCAAAAGTCTTTTTCTGAAAAACTTTTGCCCAAAAGGGCCAGTGTAGACAGCAGAGATTTGTTTTCCACAAAAAAGCCCCAATTGCGAAAATGGCGATCTGGGCTTTATTGCGGAAAAGCGCGTCTAGATTGGCCACGGACATTTTTCCGCAAAAAGTGCTTTTGCGGAAATGCGTCCTGCCAATCTAGATGCTCTTTTCCGAAAATGCTTTTAATGGAAAAGTTTTCCGTTAAAAGCATTTCCGGAAAATCATGTCAGTCTAGACGTAGCCCACCAGTTTTAGAGGCTTTGGACCCACCATTACAGTTTGAACTCTTTGAACACCGTTAGGCTACATCTATACTGTAGCCTTCTTGAGGAAAAGCATATGCAAATGAAGCGTGGCATGGAATATTGCCGCGCTTCATTTGCATAAGTAATTAGCAGCCATTTTGCGCAAAAGCCTCTTGCGCAAAAACGGTTGCTCATTACTTATGCAAATGAAACGCGGCAATATTCCATGCCACACTTAATTTGCATATGCTTTTCCGCAAGAAGGCTACAGTATAGACGTAGCCTTGGATAAATTTGCATCGCTAACCATGTCAGGCAATCCTGACCTTGTTTGTGCCTATGCCGCATCACTGACTATACTGTCGCCGCATGAGTGTGGGAGAAAACTTCATTTTGCCCTTGTTCTGGGGGTTTAGAGATGCAAACACTTTCTGGGAAGAAAAAAAATGCTTTCAGTGAAAACAAAAGTAGAGTTTTTCTTCTGAGTTTATCCCTTAATAGTGTCCCAAAGCTCAGAATCCTTTCAGTAGGCTAATCTGAATAGAGGCTAATTTTCCAAAAACATAAATAGAGTAGGAGAATACCCGAACACAAAATGCTGGCTGACAACCTATCACAGCAAGTAATAATGCAGCACTCAGAATTTGACAGTGCATCCAAGAAAATCATAATAATATGCGGGGGAGAGGGGGAGGCGGGGGGAACCCTGATACATGGAAATCACAGTAGGTGGAACTCTTCAGTCAAAAGAGACGGCTTTATGAAATGCTGCAAAATTATCAAGCTATTTGAAACCACTTTCTTTGACCAGCTAGCACACCGAATGGGATTTCTGGCTAAACAATTAATATTGGAAAGTGACATGGCTCTGTACAATACTCTATCTTCTTAGTTGGGTCTGCATTTGTACAGTAGACTTCCAATAATCCGGCACCTTTGGGACCTAGTTGGTGCCGGATTATCGGATATGCCAGAGTATCGGGAGGTACTCCGGCGGGGGGGCTGTGACGGGTCTGCCGGAACCCGCACTGCGTCCGGGGGGTGAGTGGGGAATGGCATGGCGAGGGGCGAACCCTCCACTGTTTTGCAGGAAAGTGGGGGAAGCCAGAAGCAGCCGCCGAGAGTTTCCGGGAGGGGAGCAGGCTCCTCACCCCCCAGACTGCAGTAGTTATGGCCGAGCAGGGGGGTGAGTGGCGGCACTGCGGGACCAACCCGGCAGCACCCCAGCTGCTCTGCCACTTCCCCAAATCCGCTGCTTGTCATTTACAGCAGCG